AATTGTTTGAGCTTTTTATTCTAATTTTTTTCAGAGTTCAAAGAGGTACTCTGAGCCACCTGTAAATGCACCTGTTTCAGCATATAGAATGGCAGCCCTAGCATCATTCACACGTAATAATCGTACTTATGGTCAGCAACCAATCGATAGCGTGGTTAACCCTCAAAGGGAGCGCAACGGATTGGATGCCAAGGCTAGCCAGTTAGTGGTTTCGTCGTTCGATTTCGATCGTTTTTATCGTGTGTGTTTCCGCCTACTTTTTTCGCGTCTCCCGCATTTCATCTACACGTCTTTTCAATACGCCTGCGATTACGTCAAGCTTTTTTTAAGTTTTCCTTTCATTTATTTTATTTTTTGATGACGCTGTAAAGGAATTTGAAGCTTTCATTCCAATATTCCGTTTTTTCGTAATTTTCCTCTCATTGATTTGGCTCCTTTCGCCTGCGGTACTTTCAAAGAGCCTTGATTTTCTCACAGAGTCCAATCTGCTTTTATTTCGTTTATGTAACGAGTAGGCTCGGGCATACTCGTACAGGCCATTTCTACACTTTGGTTACACGACCTTTTGAAATTTTTTTCACATAGTCCTGCCTCGAAATCTTGAGGACAGCGACTGCCAGGGCATGAAGATGTGCGAGAACACGTAGGGGTGAAGAAAGGGGACTTTTCTCAGGTGCTGTTTGGATTGAAGGGGCATTTAGCCCCAGAGTCATTATCAGTACCATTCTAATCCCTGCCAAGCAAACGAAGTCATGTAATGTAATCCACTTATAATGCCTGAAATACTGAAGTATATTGACATCACAATGATCATAGAGCGTCGTATAGACGAGAGAGCGCAGGCAAGAGTAGAAAATTGACACGAATACCGAAATACCATAAAATTTAGGTTTCATATTGTTATTTTTCAAAAGATCAGGCTGTTTTGCTATTGTATGTTGTGATAGAGTTTCCTTTACGATAACCTTACCTCATTACTTACTCTCCTTATACGCAAGTCTGCGGAAACGGCGCCATTGAAGAGGAACTCCTGCGCAAAACTGGGAGGGGTGTAATGTATAGGAGGTTGGCCTTAGCCCGTAGAGGGGACGAGATTTAGGGTGAGTGGAGCTTTTCTTTGTACACAACGTGTTGTTTCTTATTACGGTGATCTCAGTTTTACAAAGCGAGTCTGTTGTTTTCACACACTTTGATTTGTTTTTGTGAAATGATGTTAGTACTGTATTGGGGTACTGTAGCAATCCCTTCTGTCACAATGAAGCCAAGTTACCGTTACATAAGTGCTGACTACAAACGATTCATGGCGATCAATGATGTGTCAGTCAGTGAGAAATATAGACCAGTGGTCGTCGGTCGGCCGCCGGTCGATTATGGAACGGCATCATAGTCGTCATTGTCGAATTTATGATCGCCGACTGGTCATTTGGCCACTACGGTAATCATCATTACGGTATGCAGCAGCAGCAGCAGCAGCAGCAATTCCATTTGACCCAGTCCATTCTGGCCATTTTTCATAGCCCGTTCGGAGCGGATTTTTAGTCCCAACCCGGAAAATGGTGTATGGCATAAGAAATTATGACCGTTCAGCATTTCCTATCATGGAAATCATTCTCTTTGCCTTCATATGTATATATGGCGAATAGATAAGTATTGTGGTTTTTAGAGTTTGTTATTTCTGTAGGATGTATCACTCTGGGGATTACCTATGGTATAAGGAAAAATTCATAGCATAGCGGAGTTGTTCGGAGGGGGTTTGAACTTTCGATAGTTCTGCTCCTCGGCTGGCGGGGGCCATATTGCACTTTCGCTTGCGCCTTGTTAGTTATGTTAGGTCTCACTTTGGTGAGGTCCATAAGCTCCTAAGAAGCCTGAAATTGTGCAAGTGAGTAACTTTGGTCATAGAAATTTACAGATCTTCACAAGGTTCCTGTATAGGCCTTTTAGTGTTCCCGCTAGCTGGGCGATGGACAAAGCAATCGTAATTTTTCGCGTGGCCGCGCGCGGGATGTTGTGCGGCCATGGACGGCAAGTTTTTGATGTGCATCAGTAGGTTAGCTGGAGCAGCAAAACTAATATGAATTCAAGACAAGGCTCCACGACGGGCGATGATTTTCCCGTCCTTTTAAAAACGGTCTCAGGATACTGTCAATTGCGGAGCCTTCCTCCTGCTTCCTTTTACCTTCCTTCTTTCTTCCTTTTCTTCCTTCTCTCATCACTCTTCATTTTTTCCTTCCTCTACATGCTCGAACAGAGGGCGCGATGAGAAACCACCTCTGGACCCTCACAGCGAGAAGCATCCGGTTGACAGATGTCGTGTAACTTTTTAGAGAGAAACCCGTAATTGCGTATCGTGGATAGTGGTATTCAGTTACAAACCTACAGTCGCTAAATGACTCTCAGGTATAAAAAAGAACAACATCTTGAGTAGGGACCTGCAGCCCAGGGCATATCATCGTTGGGGATTCCTCAACAGGGGGTCGTATTTGGTCTCAGAGAAAATGGATGGGTTTTTTTCTTGTTTCAAGGACGCCATAAAGGGGGAAGTTGAGTGGGGAGGGGGGCCGTATGCTCGTTGATGGGAGAATGAAGGGTCACATTTCTGGCGTCTGGCCTTCTGAGAGATTGCTGATTCTTCATGGTTTTTCCTGTTTCATACGTTCTATATGTACCCCCCCCCTCCGTTCAGCAGCAATATTTTTGGAGAAAAACTAGGAAAACTTTCGGAAAATTCTTGAAAAAGCGGTAGGAAGTTGGGAAACTCTAGGAATTTTAACCGCAGGAGAAGGGGCGGGAGGTCGTACAGACTCGACCAAAGCCCCAACTAATGGTGTCCCTGCTGCAGCTTCTCTGGACGAGTTCTGTGGACCTGCTCGTTTTATACCTGCAGCATGTCCTGCCCCTGTAACTCACTGATCGTTTCTTCGCGTCATCCAGTGCTGATACCATCTAGCAGCAGAAAAAAACGAAATTGGTGTTAGTGGCAGCTCTGACGCTCCCTTACTCATAACGCCCACTCACTGAACTGAACGGTGACAGAACATTTCAATGGACGGGGTGAGTAAGGAAGCGTCAGAGCTGCCATTTATGAGTGGAATAGAGACTGAGGGGCAGATTGCTTGTACAAGGAAAAGAGAGAGTCCGCCACAATTCGCCAAAATGCCCAACCTTAAGCGACTTTACCTTTTTAGAAACCCCCTTGCTACACTAGAAAATGTTATGGTAGCAGGTGTCACAATGAAATAACTCAACGAACGTCAGCGCTGTTCAAAAGTTCCGTGCTGTTGGTGGTGCGTATTCAACAACATTTAGATGAATATCTGTCGATGAAACCGGTATATGAATCGAATTGAGCCAGTACCAGAATGAACTACGGTGCTCTTTTTAAGAACATAATAATGAAATGTCGTTGCACGTTTGATCAGGTGATTAATGAATGATCATCATGATGATGACAGCGACGACACCACCGGCATCGTTGCGCCACGACGAACGATCACCAAATGAACGAATCCAGTTTCGAATCGTCGTCACCGCGCCCTATCGTTCACTAACACATTATGCATTTACAAACAGCACGCCGTCCACGAAAGCTTTACGAGTAGCATAGCTGGTCGGATGAAACTGAAACGCCCTTCTCATAGTACCAGATAGAGGCGGTACAAATAGAATAAGCGACTAGACGGGATAAGCCCAGAAGAAAGAATAAGCGACTAGACGGGATAAGCCCAGAAGAAACCCATAAGCAGAGCAGCGTCTAGGCGCTAACGTAGGGGGATGTGACAGAACAAACATAATTTACCGCGCTGGTGGGCGTGGCGAGCAACGCCACGCTCGACAGACGAGTTGTCCTGCCTGGC